AGTACGGAATCACTGATTGTAACAAGAACCTGAAGTGGATATGCAATGATTCTACTCTTGTTCATATCAAAGTGTTGTTCAAGTTGTTTCTCAAAACGTCACCAACCTACAGCTGGTAAAGTTCCTCTTCAGCAGAAAGTGTCTACTAAAACTGCCTGCTATTGTTCTTTTCAGACCCAGAACTAGTCATGACTCTACAGGAGCAGCAGGAGTTCACAGACAACCTGGATTCAGCCAAGTCCTGGATGAAAGCCATCCAAGAGAGGCTGAAGGCCAATGACAACACGCAGGGCCCCCGTCAGGCTCTGGAGGCCAGACTTAGGGAGACAGAGGTGGGTTGGTAAAATTAATCTTGACCCTTCCCTTCTGACCCATGCTGTGTTGTTATACATCTGACCAGTTTCGGGGTCTAACTTGAGGAGACATAACCCGGTGGAAAGCAGCTATTTGATATCAAGGACTGCTGGAATTACATCATGCCAGCCATTCAGGAAAACATGAGGCTGGTAGGAGAAGGAGGTAGCTCAGTAGGTAGTGTTTGCCCCGAAGGGTTGGGGGTTCAAATCCACCGAACGGCTACCCTGAGGTACCTCCAAGCAAAGTACCGTCCCTACACACTGCTCCCCGGGCACAGGTTTTTTGGCTTCCCACTGCTTCACTGAGTGAATGGATTAAATGCAGAGGAGTGATTTTCCTACGGGGATTAATAAAGTACACATCGGTTAGTTGAACTTTCAAAATAATCAAAGATGGTGTTGTTTTCTCAGATGAATAAATAAAAAATTACAGGTCACCAAATATTGTTTCACAAAGGGCTAAAAGGGAATGCCACAATTTAGACAGAAACAAAATACTTTAATTAATAATTGAAGTATTTTAATAATACTTCATAATAAATAATAATTAACCCACTAATGCCGACCTTGTTCTAATTTTTGTGAGGAGAAAGGTTGGAGGTGAGGATAAGCACAATCAGATCTGAAGATGCACTTATCTAAATCCTCCCTAATCTATAATCTAACACGGCAAAAATGAGCAGAGAAAAAGCCAAAAAATACAAAACAGTTTTGCAGGTTCACAATTTGTGCAGCTGTCGATGTCCTATGGCGTCTCTGCTGGACTATTCTGAACTGCTCGTGTTGCAGAAGAAAAAGGTAAAACCCCATATCTCTTTTTCACATAACTTTCAATACCTGCGATATCTAATCACCGGATGTCCAACCACACCTTATCATACACTCTGTGACTTAAAAAAAAAAAAAATACCCCAAATCACAGAAAGTTGGGACGGTGTGTTAAATTAAAATCAAACTGAAAACAGTACTTTGTTTAATTATCTTTTACCTGTATTACATTGAAAACAATACAATTTTATGGGCTTTGTTTGTTTGTTTGTTTGTTTTCAAAATTAACATGTATTCAAATTTTGGTTCTTGCGACACAAAAAAGGTTCGAACAGTAAAGCATTTACCAGTTACCATAACACTTAAAAGACGTTTAGGGACTGAAGACACCAAGTGATGAAGTCTTTCAGGTGTAATTTTGTCCCATTCTTTCTGCAAACAAGTCTTAAGGGCAACTTGTTGCTGGTAACCTTCTAGGTTACCATTTTCTTCTTTGGTCTGGAGTACACGGCGTCCATTTCTCCCCAAAAATACCTGAAATACAGAAATTCATCTGAACACGTTTCTACTGTGTGATGGTCCATCCTTCTGGCAAAGTACAGTTTTAACTGGCCTTTGTGGACAAAGCTACGTATTGTGGTACTTGACAAAGCTTTGCCAAAGTAGTCCTGTGCCCATGTGGCAATATCGTTTATAGATGAATGACAATTCTTGATGCAGTGCCACCTGAAGGATCAGAGATCACGGTTGTTCATATTGGGCTTGCGACCTTATCATTTACGCACTGAAATTCCTTCAGATTCCTTGAATCCTTTAAGAATGTTATACACAATCTTTCTTTGAGGAACATTGTTTTTAAACATTTTAATAATTTCTT